AAAAAAAAAAAAAAAAAAAAAAAAAGAAGAAGAAGTAGAAGAAAGAAAGAAAAGGAAAAGAGCAGAGTTCATCTTAGCAGAGTTTATTGCCTTCTGCTGTGGTCTCCCTTTTGATATGCTGTTTGTGAAGTTTATTAGATCCTGCTCTGACGTGGGCTGAAGCTGGCCGTTTGGCGTGTTGATTCTGGGCCTCTAGGGAGGCACTCTGGTGCATGCCAATGTCAGACACTGTCATCATTACCTGGTCCTCAACAGCCTGTTTGAAGCTACAAACAGGTAAGGAAAACACACAACAGATAAAATAAAAAAACATATAGGATAAAACAATTTGCTGCATGAAAGATCCCCTTGGTCTCTTCAGTTGAAGTTAAAACAATTTGAACAGATATAACTTAACACAGGATTACCCGCTTAATGTACAGGTACACCTGAGAGATCTGAACATTGACTCATATGAAGGTGGATAAGCAGGAACAAACAGGAGGCGAGAAGGCTGAAGGGCTGAGACAAGCCACACAGTCCCACAGCCAGGACCTCACAGCAAGGGTAAGCCAGGACAGGGGAGGAACCCAGTTGTGGCTGATGCTCCTTTCAGCTAGGAGGAGCAGAAGGATTCAGAGGGCATCCCTGCAAGAGTGTGTAGTACAAGCTGTGGTTGAGCCCAGAGACCTGGGCAAGGACACAGCACTGAGTGCTTCCACAGTTGTTGTGCTGTTGGAATTTCAGACAGAGAAACAAAGCCATGGAGCCCTGCCACCCCATAGTCTTCCAGAACCCTTTGTGTTGGGGTGTGGAACACATTATCTACAAACCTAATAACTGGTACTACAGAATCACTACTTTCCCTGAGCAAGGGGTGTGCTCTGTGACTGATCCCAAGTGGTAGCACAGTAGGGATGCTGCCAAGGTCCTAGGTCACCATTACTAGGAAGGCAAACAAATAAGGTTGCAGAGTTCCTCCAGGCCCACCCCACCACAATGCATTATGGTTACACTGACTTCATACAGAGATGCTGCACAGGTCAGCATTGGGATTTCTCAGAGCTAAAAAATTTGTGATTTGGTGCCACATACTGGAAAAAAAATTTTAAGTATTTTTATATTAACCTGTTAGAGAAGAACCACTCACATAGATTCCTAGACAGAGAAGGAATCCATTAAATGCCATGAATAGCCAAGGTATCAATGCAACTCAGAAAGAAAATTTTAAAACCTCCAACAAGCAAACTTAAACACATAGAAATATGTGACAGAAAAGAGAGAATTCAAGATTGTAGTTCTGAAAATACTCAACAAGATGTGAGAAAATACAGATAGGCAATTTAAAGCAATCATTAAATAAATTAATAGACAACAATAAAAGAGTACTTTATCAAAAAAATTAAAACTTTAAAAAAGAACCAAAAAGAAATTCTTAAGATCACAATAAAAGAGATCAAAACTGAGCTAGAGAGCATGAGAAATAGAGTAAACCAGATAGAGAAAATAATTAATGATACTAAAGATAGATATCTAGAAATGATGCATAGAAAAGCAGAGAGAGATTTGATAATAAATAAATAGTAAATAAATAAATAAATAAATAAATAAATAAGAAAGAACTCTATGAGAACTATCTGACTCCATCAAAGTGAAATATAAGAATAATAAGAATACCAAAAGAAGAAGAAATGGAGAAAAGAATAGACAGCATATTCAAACAAATAATTATGAGAACTTCCCAAACCTATGAAAAGAACTAGATCCTTGAATCCAAGAAGCAAACAGAAAACCAAATTACTTCAACCCAAAGAGACCTTCTCCAAGGCACATTGTATTCAAAATGTCAAAATTAATGACAAACGAAGAGTTTTCAAAGCAGCTAGGAAAAAGAAGAAAATAACCTATAAAGGAAAACCTATATTAAAGAACTTATCAGCAGAAATTCTACAAACCAGAGGAGAGTTGAATCAAATATTGAAACTACTGAAAGAAATTACCAGCCAAGAATAATATATCCAGGAAAGTTATCCTTTATTTATTTTTTTAATCTTCATTTGAGGGTGTGTTTTTATTGGTTTCAAAGAGAAAAGAAGGGAGAAAGAGAGAGAAACATTGCTGTGAGACCAAACCCACAACCTAGGTATGTGCCCAAACCAGGAATTGAACCCACAACCTTATTGTGTATGGGATAATGTTCCAACCAACTGAGTCATCCATCCAGAGCCACAGAGTTATCCTTTAAATATGAAGGAGAAATAAAGACTTTTCCAGACTTACAGTAACTGAGGGAATTTATCAGCAGAATACTCCCATTGCAGAAAATACTCAGGGGCGTTATTCTACCTGAAATAAAGAAAAAAAGGTCATAAAACTATGAATAAGATTACAATAAAATGTACAGCATAAACAGGGATAATTTGTCACACACAAAAAGAATAAAATAAAAGGAGAGGGGTAAAGGTCTGAATTTGCTAAGGAAGATGGAGCTCAAATGCATTCAAAAGATAAAGGACTACTGTATGTATGAAACTTTCTTTTTCATAAACCTAATAGTAACCACACACAAAAACAAAATAAAACTGAGACACATAGCTTAAAAAAGAGATAGTAGAGAAAAGATATATAGAATACCACCAAACAAAAACAACAGATGGAAACACAAAAGAAAAGAACCAATGGAAGTACAGAGGTACCGAAAAGCAAAATATAAAATGGCTATAAGAAATTCTCATACATCAATAGTTACCCTAAGTGTAAATGGACTGAATTCACCAATTCAGAGGCACAGAGTAGCAGACTGGATCACAAAACAAACCCAACCATGTACTAATATCAGGAGACACATGTAAGCTGAAAAGACAGACTCAATGTAGCAGGATGGAAAATGACTCTTTAAAAAAATATTAGTATCCAGAGAAAAGCAGGTGCAGCCATACAAAATAAATCTCTAGATTACAAGGGTAACGAGACAAAACTGGACATTTTATAATGATAAAAAATATATTACATCAAGAAAAATAACACTTCTCAGTATATATACACTCAATCAGGAAGCACCAAAATATATAAAGCAAATATTAATGGCTAAAATGGAGAAACTGAAAAAACACAATTATAGTTGGGGACATAAATACTCCATTGTCAGCTCTAGACAGTTCATCCAAAAGAGAAAATCAAAATTAAGAAATATCAGCATTAAATGACATAGTAGACCAAATAGACATAATTGACATTTACAAAGCCTTTCATCCTAGAACATCAGATTATATATTCTTCTGCAGTGCACATGGAACATTCTCAGGGATAGACCATATGTTGTGTCACAGACCTAGCACCAGCAAATTCAAGAAGATTGAAATTATACCAATATATTCTCTAACCACGATGACTTGAAAATAGAAACCAACTGCAAAAAGGAAGTAAAGAAGCTCACAAGTACATGGAGATTAAACGGCATACTACCAAAAAGTGACTAGGTCACAGAAGAAATAAAAGATATCAAAAGATCAAAAGATGAGATCAATAGAGGCAAATGAGAATGCCAATAAAACATATCAAAACTTCTGGAATGCCGGAAAGTAGTAATAAGAGAAAAGTTTATATAATTACAGGCCTAGGAGAGATTAAAGATGGCTGCGGACTAAGCAGAAGCTACATTACACTCTCCCGGGACCAAAATGAAATTACAGCTAACATAGAAAAAGCACTTTGAATAATCAACTGCAACTGAAGGCCAGCTGTAGAGCACCCTTATAACCAAGGAGGAAAAGTGGAGACCGAATAGAGACTGGTAAGAAGTGCAGAGGCATGAGAGGGCTGGCTGGGCTCCTACAGGCAGCAGCTGAAGGGCCAGAGGGATATCTCAGCTGTGGGGTTCCCACTAATTACAGGCCTATCTCAAGAAATGAGAGAAATTCAAGTAAAAAACCTAACATCACATCTTGAAGAACTAGGAAAAGAAGACCAAAAGCAACCCAAAGTCAGCAGAAGAAAGGACATAATAAAAATTAGAGCAGAATCTATGAAATAGAGAACAAAAAATTAAACAAAAAAAATTAATTAAAAAAGGCAGTTCTTTGAAAAGATTAATAAAATTCACAAACCCTTGGCTAGACTCACTAAGGTAAAATGAGAAACGACTCATATAAAAAAAAATCAAAAATGAAAGAGGAGAAGTTACCACAGACATCACATATATACAAAGGATCATACAGAATACTATGAAAGATTATGTGCCACCAAATTCAATACTAGAAGAGATGGATAAGTTTCTAGAAATATATACAACCTTCCTAGACTGAATCTTAAAGAACTCAAAAATCTAAATAGACTGATCAACAGTGAGGAAATTGAAATAACCATCAAAAACCTAAAAAAATAATAGTCTAAGAACTGATGACCACTAGTGAATTCTTTTTGTTTAAAAAAATTATATTTATTGATGAAAGTATTAGAGATGTCCCCTTTTCCTCCCCACTGATCCCCTCCACACCTCATCCACCCCACCCCCAAACCTTCCCCATATCAATGTCTGTGTCAATGGGTTATACTTATAAACATATAAGTTCTTTGATTAATCTCTCTCCACACAATTCCCCACCCTCACCCTCCCTTTGAGATCCTTCAGTCTGTTCCACAGTTTTATGTCTCTGGATCTATTTTGTTCATCAGTTTCTTTTGTTTATTACATTCCACATATGAGTGAAATCCTGTAGCACTTGTCTTTCTATGACTGGCTTATTTTGCTAAGCATAAAACTCTCCAGTTTCCTCCAAGCTGTCCCAAAGTATAAGTGATCCTTTTTTTTTTTTTTTTACAGTTGCATCATACTCTGTTTGTGTAAATGTACCACATCTTTTTTATCCACTCATCTACTGATGTGCACTTCAGAAGAATGTATATATTGCAACTTTGGGGTGGAATGTTCTGTAAATGTCAATTAAATCCATCTGATCTAGTGTGTCATTTAGGGTCACTGTTTCCTTGTTAATATTTTTGTCTGGAAGACCTATCCAGTGAAGTCAGTGGAGTGTTAAAGTCCTCTAGTATGACCGTAATGCTGTCAATCTCTCCCTTAAAGTCCTCTGGAATTCTTTTTATAGATTTAGGTGCTCCTATACTGGGTTCATATATGTTTGTTAGGGTTATATCCTCTTGGTGGGTATACCCCTTTAGGATTATGTAGTGATCTTTCTTGTCTCTTGTTATGGTCTTCATTTTGAAGTCAATTTTGCCTGAAATGAGTATTGCTACCATCACTTTTTTTTTTCATTTCCATTTGAATGGAAAAATTTTTCCCATCCCTTCACTTTCATTCTGTATGAGTCTTTTGTTTTGAGGTGGCTCTCTTGTAGACAGAATAAATTTGGGTAATGATTTCTTATCCATTCAGCCACCCTGTTTTTTTATTGGAGCATTTACTCCATTTAAATTTAAGATTATTATTGATAGTTATCTATTACCATTTTAATTCTTTATGCTTATGTTTCTCTCTCGCTATTTTTATTTCTAATTACAGTATTTCTTTTAACATTTCCTGTAATGATGGTTTTGTAGTGATAAACTCCTTTAGCCTTTTTTTTTTTTTTTTTTTTTTGAGGGGGAGCTCTTTATTCACCATCTATCTTAAATGATAGTCTTGCTGGATAGAGTAATCTTGGTTTCAGATCCTTGTTTTGCATTACCTTGAATACTTCATGCCATTTCCTTCTAGCTTATAGTGTTTCTGATGAGAAGTCAGTTCACAGCCTATGGGAGCTCCTCTGTAGGTAACAGATTGCTTTTCTCTAGCTGCCTTTAATATTCTCTTTTCCTTGAATTCTTGGCATTTTAATTATGATGTGTCTGGCTGTAGGCCTCTTTAGATTCTTCTTGCTTGGGACACTTTGTGCCTCTTGAAATTGTGTGACTTTTTCCTTGAGCAGATTAGGGAAGTTTGCTGCCCCTTTCTTATTCTCTTCCCCTTCTGGTACTCCTATAATGCAAATTTTGTTACATTTCATGTTGTAGCACAGATCCCTTAACCTATCCTCCTGTTTTTTAATTTATTTTTTTGGGGTGGTCTCTGATTGAGTGATTTTTTTCTGCCCTTTCTTCTAATTCATTGAACCAATTCTCAGCTTGCTCTAGTCTGCTATTTATTCCTTCCAATGTATTCTTTATTCTGCTATGTAATTCTTAATTTCCTTCATATTTTCCATATCTTTTTCATGCTGTAGAGAATCCTTACAATCAGTATTCTGAACTGTATATCTGATAGATTGCTTATCTCCATTTCATTTATCTCTTTTTCTGGAGGCTTCATTTGTTCTTTCATTTGGGGCTTGTTTTTTGGTCTCCCCAATTTGGGTGCCTATTTGAGTTTGTTTCTCTGAATTAGGTAGGTCTTCTAGGACTCAGTATTTTTGGAAGGTCTCTGGTGGAGGCCAATGTCAGACACAATTTCTGACTGGCCCCAAATACTCTGGAGCCATCAACAACTCTCAGGTTGAGGTCTCTATTGTTGGTGCTGGGTGTCGTTGAACAGGACCAAGATGCACACCAGTGTGCTTTTCCAAGGCCTGGATCCTGAAGCAGATCAGGCAAAGACTCAAAGCTCTCTGAGGTCCTTCTCTGGCTGCAGGCTGACTAATCTGATTCTCCTAATGAGTCTCATTGTGTAGAAGCTCCACAGCTGATTGGTATCAGTCTCTTAATGAGCCTCAGTCTGTAGAAACTCCACAGGGTAAGGCAAGAGGTTTTCCAGAAGGGTGTAGCAATTGCTCCCTCCTCATGCAAAAGGTGCTTGCCAAGTAAATTTCTGCCTCTGCAGTGTGGGGGAATGACTTGGCACAGGAATCCAGAGGGGTGCCCTCTGAGCTCTATCTCCAGAGCCCACAACCCTAGATTCTCACAAACCTCCAGACCACTCTGCCCTCCCTTTGCTGGAGCCCAAGATGAGTGGCTGCACATGAAACTGTGCATTGGCTCTTTAAGAGGATGGCTGCATTTCTAGCCACCTCTCCCTAGTAGACAGAAACCCAGCTGCTTTTTACAGCCAGATGTTATGTTGGTATTTTTCTCAATTCTGGTTCTCCTGGCTGGGAATCCCAGCCAGTGTTCAGGCCCCAGAGTCCTCAGTGGGACCCCCCCACATCTGAGATATCTCTCTGGACCTTCAGCTGCTGCCTATAGAAGCCCAGCCAGGCCTCTCTTGCCTCCTCACTTCTTACTGGTCTCTATATGGTCTCTGATTTTCCTCCTTGGTTATGAGGGTGTTCTCTGGTTCCTCTTCAGTTGCAGTTAATTATTCAGTATGTTTTTTCTATATTTTAGTTGTAATTCCATTTTGGTCCCAAGAGAGT